CAGTGTTGGGGTGATGATGTATCGTTGCTTGATCTGAGCTCAGATAACAAATGGACGTCTCTGTTCTACTACATAGAACAGTCACAGTCATCTGATTGTGAAGAAGCCTCAGGACCTTGATGTACTTTTTCAGGAGATCCAAATCTGGCCAGTACTTTCCGCAAGGTTTCCTTTTTGATAGAATCAAAGGTCTTTGTAAGGTCAGTAAAGGCTACAAACAGGTTGTGATGTTATTCCTACCTAACACTTTTCTTGGAGCTGGCAGGCAACAAAGATCATGTCAATTGCTCCACCAGATGGCCTGAAACCACACTGAGATTCCAGCAGGACTTCCTTAGCAAGAGGTTCAGGAGGATGCAGGAGAGGATTTTCCCTGCTGTGGAAAGGAGGGGGATATATCTCAATAAGTCTGTGTGTGGGAACTATCTTTTCTTGAAGATAGTCACGATGTTGGCATTATTCAAGTCCCCAGAGACCTCTGTTTTTCCAAATTCGGAGAATACCATACTTATTCGAATACAAGATGACCCTGATTTTAAGGCGACCCCCAAATAATTATTTTATATATGTAAAATTTATAAATTTGATATAATTTTCCAGGTGTAGAATCTAAGTATTGGAGGTTTGTCTTGAATTTGTCAGCCTCCCACTACTACAGCAGGGGAAATTAAATCCAGGGCCAGGAAGTCCCTTTGCCCTCTTCCTCATCCCAGCTTTTTCCCCCTGCAGCCCCTTCCCCTCTCCTTACTGACACACCTTGCTCTCCCTGAGCACATGGAAATGAAAAATAAATTTGAAAGAGAACTGATCTTGAAATAAACATAACTGTACCAATTTGTGTATAGTACCCATATACTTAGTTCACCTGGAAATTATGCATTTTACCTTTTTTGAAACTGCTGCAAGGTTTAGCACAGGTATTCCATAGACACATTTTTAAGCAGCACTTTAGCACCTACTTAGAAGGAATACAAACTATGTATATTAGTCCAAATGAAAAGGCTCATGATTTATCATATAGTTCATTGGGCTGGGCCCTAGCAGAGTCCATAGCATTTCAAGCCATGGTGACCTCTCAGCTCAGCACTGCTCAGAGTGTGCGTGTTCCCTAGATGCCCCCACAAGGGTATCCAATACTATCCATGTGTTAATTAGACCCCCACTCATGACTGGAGCTGGGTGTTTTTTCCATTAGTACTAAGCTCCTCCAAAAATGTATAGACAGATAAGGGGTAGGGCAGCCTGGTCCGGCTTCACCTTATGGAGGGTAGCACCACATTAATCGTGTGACAGGCTGAGAGGGGGCAACAGAGAGATTCTGGTTGAATTGTTTGGGACCCCCTTTGGTGATGTTTAAGGCTATTGGAGAAAAGAATAATTGAAAATTGGAAAGAAAAGCATAGCTCAGCTGTGGGAGTAAAGAAGTAGTCAAAGCACATTCAGTGTAGTAGCTCACCACCACTTGAAAAAAAATCAGTGCTGAGGGGGACTGCACACAATGTGCACCATTGTATTTCTTATTCAGATGGGTTACACTATCGTACCTTTGTTTGCCCCCATATGTGCCATGTGTTTTATAATCATGCTCAGTGTTTGCTCCATTTAATCAGCTTCATACTTGTTTTTTATTACTAAGCAAATGCTGTTTTTAGCAGTAGGTCAAAGATAGGCAATGTATTTAGCATGGTTTTCTTATATGTGAATGTAAGATGAGGGGCTTTTTGTCTTGCATTGATTTGAGAAGGGGAAACTTTATCTTATATTCAAGTAAATATGGTAAATTAATTGAATCTCAGAACCAGCTCCTTGCCACTGTCACAACCCAAAGTTGTGGGTTTTTTTGTTTGTGCGCGCTTCGGCACCGCTAAATTATGTTCCCGCTAAATTGCAGCTTCTTTGAACGGTAGAGTTTTCTGCTGCAGAAGAGAACCCCGGTGGAAAAGGTTATTCCTGCCAATTTGAAGCTTTCTTTGCATGGTGCATTTCTTCTTGCATCCAAGAAATGCTCGGTGCAAGGAGTTCCCGCCATTTGTATGAAGATTCGTGCCACATTATTGGCCGATTCTAATACATGCACATGTGGCGGCTAGTGATTGGCTTCCTAGCCGTATAAAGAGCTTGGGTGGTTTCCGTCCAAGTTGGAGAGAAAGCAATTGGAGTTCGAGAGAAAGAGCGTGAAGATCTCTAAGCGCTGCGGATCCTTACGGACCCAACGCTTTTCTTAAAAGGCAATAGAGGCCTGATAACCGAACCCGCGGAGCTTTAACAACTCCGGGGAAAAGAACGAACAGCCTCTAGCCTCTCCCCGTCGCCAATAAATTCCTAGACGTATCCCTTCCTATACAAGAAACTACCGAACCCGCGGAGCTTCAATAACTCCGGGGCCAAGAACCGAACCCGCGGAGCTTCAATAACTCCGGGGCTGAGAACGAATTGTCGTAGTCCTCTAACGAGGATTTAAGCGGAGCTGAACCTGGAAACTGTCCAGCCTACACCACGACCATCTTCGGTGTAAGTAAATAATCTTTAAATCAACCATTACGTGTCCGTACTTGATTCTAGCTCGCCACCGGTTCTTTCCGACCCCGCGTGCCCGGGCTGCTGGCCACAGCCCGCGTGCGCAAAGACGGGTCCGCATATCGCTCCCGGCCCGCTCATGGTGACATGGATGGGATCGGGAGGCGGCCCGCACAGCCACCAACCTTGTATATTTCAACAGGTATGCCACCCTGCCCAGCAGCCTTATTGTTCTTGGTTTCCTTGACGGTGTCATTACCCAATGATTGTGCATGTGCTTCGGCACTGCAGAATTATTTCCCGCCACATGGAGCTTTCTTTGCATGGTGCAATTCTCAGCTGCCG